CGGCAATCCCAGCGGCGGCGGCGGCGACAACTTTCGGTGCGCGAGAGGGATGGAGGTGGAAGAGGGCGGGTGGGAAGCAAGGCTCCCCGCTCGGTCCTCTGCTTGTCCTGGCTGTGGCTCGGGGTTGATCTCGGCTAGGAAGCGATCGATCGCAGGGAGACAGCCAGCTAGCCGGGGGACTTCGGAGGAGAAGGAACCACCGGCTGGCACGGGCTTGGCTTGGCTTGGCTTGGCTTGGGTGGCCGACCAGGTGGGAGGAAGGCACCGCCAGCCTCGCCTTGGCAGCGGTGGTTTGACCTCTTTCTGGGTCAAACTCCCAGTTGGCCGCCCCCGTCTAGCAGGGAGCAAAGGCCGGGCAGGGGAGACCGGTGGTTTGGGGCGGGGGCCGGGTGTCGATGCGCCTTACCGGCACCATCGTTCCTCCAACCAGACAATCCGCTTTTCCTTCTCCGGGCAAAATAAGAAAAGGCAAATGCCCTCTTTCTCCCCCCCTCCCCCCCGACTGTAGTGCAAAAAGTCCCTGCTTGGGTTTTAAGTTGGACAAAGTTCTTTGCCAGGCGCATCGGAGCGAAAGTGCTGCTTTGTGCCAACCAGGGGCTCCTCCGAGCGCTTTGCGCGGGGATCCCGGGCCAAACTCTCCCCGGGGGGCTGCCAGGTTGGCGGCCAGGTTCTCTGCGCAGCTTCTGGGGTTTGCAAACAGCAAGGCTTCGGGAAGGAGGCGGTGCGTGTGTGGTGCGTGCGTGCGTGTGTGTGTGTGTAGAGGGGTGCTGCGTGAAAAGAATGAATCCCTGGCGAAAACCAGGTCGGGCTGAGCAAGGGCAGGGGGGCGCAGCTGGCCCGAGGTGTCACGGCGTGGAAAGGTCGCTCTGCCAGGCCGGCTCAATTGCGAAGCGAAAGGGTGAATGGCGGTGCTCAGCGCCCGCGAGTATGGCTGCTTTTTCTCCCCCTGCCAAGAGACGGAAGGCGTAATCCCTTTTGTCAGCTTCCCTTTCGCCAGCTGCAAACAGCTCGAGAAAGTTTGCCCAGCCGGATCCTCGGGACTCTCCAGCTGCCTCCCCCATCAAGGGCGCACGCCTGAGGTTGGCTCTTCTCCGGCCAGGGCCAAGAGCCTCGTTTGGCGGGGGGGGGATCCTTTGGACTTCTCCCAAGTGTTTCAGACTCACGTGGATGGCATTTTTTTTCTGCTGTGCACAAACCCGTCGAGAAAGAAATGTTTTCTAGTGTTTGGAGAAAACAAACCAGAGGTGCTTCAGGGTGGTGACTGTCCAGGCCTCTGTGCTGTGCAATCGTTCTGGCCAGCTTCCCCTTTGTCAAGTTTCTCTGTCTCTAAGTGGGGTTGCCTGGGAAAACCCAAGAGCAATAGCCACCTCGACAGGCAGTTCTCCAGTTGGAGCTGGAGTCTGAACATGTTTCAGGAGGTCTGGTGACTGGAACCAACACTAGCATTGCTGGGTATCTGTTCTATTGGATGCCTCTTCTTTTTTTTGAAAAATTGCCAAGAGTTTCTGCAGATTGTAAAGGGCAGCATGGGATGAATATCTAGCATTTTGCTAATCCCTTTCCCTGCATGATACTTGCAAAGCTAGTGGTGACGGAGGAGTACCTCCCTAGGTGCAATCTGGACAAATATTCCTCTAAGATAGTATAATGCTGCTACATTTAGAACATATGTTGTGCTGTGTACTGGTTTGGTTTTCTCTTTACGATAATCAGGCATGTTAGATTGGTTTGGGCAGCCTAGAAGCTTGAGGGCTGCAAACAGGCACTGGAGCATTTCTTTTTTCCTTTCCTCCTCAGCTCAGGGCCAGCAGCCTGACACATTCAGGCACTTAATGCAGCTGTGGCAGGGGTGGGGCAGGAATGGGAACCATGTGGCTGGCCAGCTGCTGTGGACTGAATAGCAGCAGGTTTTTTTTTGTATCACAACTGATTTGCTGCAGAACAGCAAGCAGCAGGAGTATTCTATATGGACATTAAAACCTTGGAGCTTAAGTAGTATGCCATTTAAAAACACCGCACTTACTGACTGCATATGCATTTTACTCGTTCTAGGGCATCCTCTGAAAATTGTGCCGGAGTCTGAACAAAAAAGCCAGGGTAAATGTGCTCTCTGCTATAGCATTGCTTTATGTTTCTAGAGTGCACTCCCTCCTTCTTTGGCCTCTACGCAAAACCTCCTATAGTAGATGACCGTTGTGTCAAAGTTTATCACAAAATGGCTATCCTAGCCTCTGCTTCCAAGTATTATCTAGCACAGCCCTTCTCAACGGGGGCCCTGGCACATTTAAAGGGGGGGGCACAGACTGGAAATAATTCTTCACACACTATCTTGCAAGGTCCATTATGCGATCCTGATTCGGCCTATATTTCTTTCATCTTGTGTTTATGGCCATGGCCGAAAAAGGTTGTCTCCTGGGGTTGGTTCAAATAGACACTGTCTATCACTTGATGACTGGAAGTCCAATAATTATTTGCATCAAGAAGGTGAGCCACCTTAAATTATCTTGCATCAAGAAGGTGAGTCACCTTAAATTATCTTAAATGACTGCTTTTCCATCAAGTCAACTCCTCTATTTCGTTGCTCTTATTGGCTCTATCCAGTAGAAGTTAGGCATCCTTCTTTCTGTTGAGACGAGAGGAACCTGTCTATTGCAATCTACTTGAATCTGAATGCTTTCAGACACAGCCATGGCTGACATTCCCAATATTGGAATGATCCAGTATACACTAATCAGTTACACATATGCATGTGTGGACCAAGGTCTGCAAGTATATGTGCATGTGTGCACATGCACGCACACACACCTCCCTAGCTTTAACTGTTCACTTAAAGACTCGTATGTCAGAACTGGGATTCTGAAGGGGAGATGAATCACCATGATTCGGGATTGGTAATGTTTTTTTTTTCCTGATACTGCTAACTAATTTTATAACACCCAGAACACATATGCTTAATAGCAGCAGTGTGACTAAATAAGAATGGTAAACGTTACTATCGTAGATCTTTATTGGGCAGTAAAAAAAAAATTTATAGTGTGCTGCAAGTAAGGCATTTGAGGCCAGCTGTGATGCACATAGAAAAGCTACCTATGTGCACAAATTACACGGCAACAACTTCCCAGAATTTGAAACTGGTTGTCGTCTTTTTTCCCCCCTTTGTAATATTTTTGTTGGTATTATAATAAGGAAGGTATTTCAGAATTGTTACCTAATTTAGACTGTGAATCTCGGGGAATTATCATTATAAAAACACATGAGGAACCCATTACAGAAGTATTAAGCATTTCTAAAAGTATAAGCTACCCATAGCCACTGTCTCATTACCACTGCTAGATGGATGACCAGCTCAGATCCTTAAAATCCTAATGCCCAGAGGCAGTAGTGGGAGGAAGTTGAACTGGAATAGACCTGAGATTGGAGTAAGTTCAAATAGAGGGTACAGTGGAAGAGATGGAGATAATTATTTTCTGTAATACTCTTGACCTCTGACTTAGCATAATTTTAAAGAGCCAGCAGATCTAATACAGCAAAAACAACACACTGGTAAATATGGCGTTTTTACAATTCTGCTTAATTCTGTATCATTTTATGCTGATTAAACCAGTTCCATAATGCTGGAAAATGCATGTAATGTTTCTTGTGAAGAATCAATATATGTCAGAGGATATGAGCATTATTACATTAGCTATCAATCAGATGTCCAGGCCAGAAAAATCATTAATGAAATGGTGATAAAGCAAGAGTTTAGATCCTTAACCAAGGACAGACTGTAGGTGAAGTGGGTAGGAATAGACAAGTAAATAGTGCTGCTAAATATGATGGAATACCTACAAAACATCATCCTTATTCATCACTGATTTAAGAACAATATAATCTAAATGTTTCAAATTAGGGGAAAAGCAACATAGTTAAGGAGAAGAAAGGTGGGGAAATATTTTATTTCATGTATATGCTGCCCTTCTCCCAGAAATTGGGACTCAAGGCAACTTACAGGATGTATGCCCAATCTTTACATTATACTACTAAAATGTTAGTATAGGATGTATAACCAAACATGAACTGCATAACAATTGCTTGCTTTTCTCATTTCATCATTCCATAGGGAGGTATGTAGAGCCAGTCATGTACTCCCCATGATGAGGACAGCAATTGGATGCTCATTCATTCTGTCATGTCATTATTCAGTCGATCCCCAATCAAATGAAGTTACACTGAGCTGGAAGGATGCATGTGATTTACTCGAGTGACCCTTCTCTTGTCTTTCATGATTGCAATGTATAGTCTATGTTGAAAATCCCTGTTTCCATCTCTGAGCTCTGAGCTCTTCCAGCTCACCTAAACAACTTTATGGGTTTTGCTGCTGAGCACTGGAAGAGGATTCAAGTATGTAGTAAGGGAAACGATGTCTTTTTGGGTCCATTTTACTATTGTAGATTATTGCTGCAACAAAAATGTTGTGGCACCTTCCATAATTCTTGTGTTTTTCTTTAAAGAGTCTGGCAGGACAGGATAAAGGTGCATCCAATTTTCTGTTCCCATAATGGAGAATAAATGGCTAGTTTTACGGCCCTCTGTAGGGAATGATGGGAGAAGAAGAGCAAGCCATTCTTACGCTGCACCTGCTTGGAAGAATAGGATGAAGAGTGGGCCTATAATACCCCAGAACTCTCTCAAGTGGGCTTGATAGAGAAGGTAGTTCCTGGCCCCGTAGAAATACTCCCCTTTTACATAAAATTTCAAGATGTGTTGCAGTGGTGAGGAACTTTTGACCCTCCAGATGTT